TTTGGCATGGATTACTAAAGTGTTTTCTAATTTAAAAAAAAAAAAAAAAAGGAAGAAAAATACTATCAGGACTTTTCCCTTTAAAGCAAGTAAACATGGACAGGCGAACTAGCTCAGCAGACTAAAGTGCCTGCTTAGGCAAGTTTAGGGACCTCAGTTTGATCCCTGGCACCACATGCCATGCCAGTCCCACCCCCAGTGGTGTATGCCTGTAATCCCTGTGCTGGGGAAGGTGAAAACAAGAGGTTCACCACGAGTCCAAGCTGTGCAGTAAGACCCTGCAATAACCAAATACGTAAAAAATAGTAACAAATAAAGCAAGCAAACAAAATCTTCTGAATAAAGTACCTAGCTTGTTATGCTTAAAATTACCAAGGAAAGAGCCAGTGAGATAGCTCAGTGCACTAAGTGCCTGCTTAGGCAAGCTCAGGGACCAAGGTTCAATTCCCAGCACCACATGTCACATGGGCATTGTCCCTGGGCGCACTAAGCCAGCCACCAAGACCAGGGGCATGGTGGAGCATGCCTGTAATCCCAGTGCTGGGGAGACCTGAGCTGGGTAGTGAGACCCTGTGTCAAAAACAAATAAAAATAAATAAAATAAAAATAAAATTACCAAGGATGTTTTTATTCCTTTGACATAGAAAAAAAATTCTGTACATCACTCCTTCCATCTCTAAATTCTGAACTGTCTTTTTTTTTTTTTTGCAGAACCGGGGATTGAAGTCAGGCCCTTGCGCTTGCCAGGGAAGCGCTTATTCCACTGAGCCGTCTCCCCTGAGCTGTCTTAATTTGATCTGTTGAAGTTCTTTAAGTAAAACCAGAGAACATGTGACACAGCTACGTCATTGTATGAGAAACAGAAAACATAAGAAAAATCATACTAAGGAACAAGAATGTGATTCTTTTTGGTGGCTAAATAGCAGCACTTCCACTAAAACTGTCATAAAAGCAGTGAGAGGACACCAAAAGCATAAACCCCAAAAGCACAAACACAATGTTTTGTTTTGTTCCAGCTACATCATAAGCACTAACGCTATGCTGCAGTGAAAATATCAGTCATAAAATTAAAAAAATAGTGGGCTGGCCAGGCAGCTCAGCAGACTAAAGCACCTGCTTAGGCAGAGCTCAGTGGCCAGGATTCGATTCCTGGTATGCCATGCAGGCCCCGCCCCCAGGGTACACTGAGAGGGCAATTGAGACTGGGCATGGTGGCGTGCGCCTGTAATCCCAGCTCTTGGGAGGCTGAACACAGGTGGATCACGAGCCCGATCTACATAGTGAGACCCTGTAGACCCTGTACTAAATATATAACATATATAGTTTAATATTTCCAATGCTTATATCTGCAGATATGTAATATGACTGTTTTGTGGTGACACTATTGCTTTATACAGTTCCTGTATTTGAAAGGGATTCTTTCAAATAAACATAATGACTATTTAGGTAAATGATACATTTCTTTTGAAAAAGGATGGGGACCCGCCCCAGCCCTAGCTCAGTTCTTTAAGCGGCTGCTTCCACAAAGCTGTCAGCCGCAGGCTGCTGTAGTTCGATCCCCACAACACTCCAGCCAGCTAAAAGTGCCCTGAAGGCATTCGAGGAGCAAAAAAAAAAAAAAAAGGAACATAGCTTTGACAATGATAGTGAAAACCTTGCTGTTTTTAACTGTCTAGGAAAGGAAGGTGAAGCCTGGTTTCCAAAGTCACCTCATTTCTTTGTTTTATTCATTCTGAACCAACATCTCGTATGTGGTTCAGACTGGACTTGCAACTCACTATAGAGCTAAGGGTGGTCTCCAACTTGCAGTGATCTTCCTGCCTGGGCCTCCCAAATTCTGTAATTAGAGGAGTATGCACCATATGCAACACATCTCAATTTCTTTTGATTTTGTTTTTAAGATAGGCTCTCACTATGTAGCCCTGGCTGGCCTTGATCCTCCTGCCTCCACCTCCCGAGTACTGAGACAACTGGAATGTGCCACCGTACCTGGCTCCTCAATCCTCAAAGTTAATATGAATATGGATATTCTACTCTTACTTCCAAAATATATATTTTTTGCTATTAATATAAGTATTAGGGGCTGGGGGCCTGCCCCTTAGCTCAGTTCTTTAACTGGCTGCTTCAACAAAGCAGTCAGGCTTAGGTTGCTGTGGTTCGATCCCCACAACACAAGACAGCCAGTCATGCCTTGAAGGCATTCGGCGCAAAA